GGGATTTGGGGTGAGCTTGCCAATTGGATACATAATTGGGTTAACAAGGTGTAGAGCTGGATGAACACAGCAGGCCAAGCAGCATCAGAGGAGCAGGATGGATGACGTTTCGGGCCTAGACCCTTCTTCAGAAATGATATAATTGGCTTAATGGCAGGAGACTGTGGTGGAGGGATGCTTTTTGGACTGAAAGTCTGTCACCAGCAGTGTTCCGCAAGGATTGGTTCTGGGCCCTTTTGTCACTTACATTAATGATTTGGATGAGAACATAGGAATGGTTAGTAAATTTGCAAATGACACCAAAATTCGTGGCAAAGTTGGCAATGAAGAATGTTATTGAAGATTATGAAAGAATCTTGATCAAATGAGCCAGTGGGCTGAGAAATGTCAATTGAGTTCAATCTGGATAAATGCGAGGTATTGCATTTTGGGACAGCAAACAAGTGTAGGGCTTATACAATTAATTTGTAGGGCCTTGGGTAGTGTTGTTGAACAGAGGGACCTAGGGGTTCAAGTGCATAATTATTTGAAATTTGCATCACACATAGCCAGGGTAGTTTAAAAAGGCGTTTAGCGTCCTTGCTTTCATTGTTCAGTCCTTTTTGATTATAAGAGTTGGGAAGTCATGTTGAAGTTGTACAGGACATTGGTGAGGCCTCTTCTGGAATACTGCGTCCAGTTGTGGTTGCCCAGTTATAGGAAGGATTTTTAAGCTGGGGAGGATTCAGAAGAGACATACCAGGATATTGCCAGGTATGCAAGGTTTCAGCTATGAAGAAAGGGTGGATAGGCTGTGATATTTTTCACTGGGGCATAGGAGGTTGAAAGGTGAACTTCCTGAGGTTTATGAAATCATGAGCGGTATAGAGTGAGTTAATGGTAGTTGTCTTTTCCCTAGGATGGGGGATTTCAAAAGTAGGGGGCACATTTTTAAGGTGAGAAGAGAGAAATTTAAAAAAGACATGGGCAAATTTTTCACAGAGGGTGACTTGCATGTGGAATGAACTTGCTGAGGAAGTGGTGGATGTGGGTACAATGGCAATGTTTAGAAGATATTTGGATAAATGCATAGTAGGAAAGGCTTGAAGGTATATGGGCCAGGAGCAGGCAGTCAGGACTGGTTTAGTTTGGTATTATGTTCAGCATGGACTGTTGGACCGAAGGGTCTCTTTCCATGCTGTGAGACTCTTAAGTCTGCTATTTGCTGGCATGTTTGCTTTTTTGTATTCATTTGTGGGATGTGGGCATCATTGACTGACCAGCATTTCTTGCCCATCCTTAGTTGCCCTTGAAGGTGATGGTGAGCTGCTGCCTTGAACTGCTGAAGTCCCCCAGCTGTAGGTTGATCCATTATGCCATCAGGGAGGGAATTCCAGGATTTTGACCCAGTGACAGTGAAGGAACAGAGTTATTTCCAGGTCAAGATGGTGAGTGGCTTGGAGGGGAATTTGGTGGTGTTCCCATATGTCTGCTGCCCTTGTCCTCCTAGATGGAAGTGGTCGTGGGTTTGGAAGGATCTCGGGTGAATTTCTGCGGTGCATCTTGTAGATAGTACACACTGCTGCTGTTGAGTGTTCAGTAGTGGATGCTTGTGGATGTAGTGCCAATCAAGTGGCCTGCTTTGTCCAGGATGGTGTCAAGCTTCTGGAGTGTTGAGACTGCACTCCTCCAGGCGAGTGGGAAGTATTCCATAACACTCCTGACTTGTGCCTTGCAGATGGTGGACAGGCTTTGAGGAGTCAGGAGGTGTTATTTGCCGCAGTATTCCTAGCTTCTGACCTGCTCTTGTAGCCACTGTGTTAATGTGGTGAGTCCAGTTGAGTTTCTGGTCACTGATAACCGCCAAGATGTTGATAGGGGAGCATTCAGTGCTGGTAACACCATTCAATGTCAAGGGTCGCTGGTTAGATTGTGTCTCCCATTTGTGATGGTCTTAGCCCAGCATTTATGTGGCGCGAATGTCACTCGTCATTGTCAGCCCAAGCCTGGATATTGTCCAGATCTTGTTGCATTTGAACATGGACTGCTTCAGTATCTGAGGTGTCACAAATGGTGCTGAACATTGTGCAATCATCGGTGAACATCCCCACTTCTGACCTTATGATGAAGGAAAGGTCATTGAAGATGGTTGGGCCGAGGACACTCCACTGAGCATCTCCTGCAGGGAAGTACTGGAGCTGAGATGATTGACCTCCAACAACTGCGACCATCTTCCCATGTGTCAAGTATGACTCCAACCAATGGAGAGTTTGCCCCCTAATACACATTGATTCCAGTTTTGCTAGGGCTCCTCGATGCCACAGTCTGGTCGAATGTAGCCTTGTTGTAAAGGGCTGTCACTCTCACCTCACCTCTGGAATTCAGCTCTTTTTTGTCCATTTTGAACCAAGGCTGTAATGGGGTCAGGAGCTGAATGGCCCTGACGGAACCCAAACTGGGCGTCACTGAGCAGGTGCTGCTTTGCCTTCCACTACTTTACTGACGATTGAGAGTGGACTGATGGGATGATAATTGGCTGGGTTGGATTTGCGCTGCTTTTTGTGTACCAGACATATTTGGGCAATTTTCCACATTGCTGGGTAGATGCTAGTGTTGCAGCTGTACTGGAAGAGCTTGGCAAGGGGAGCAGCAAGTTCTGGAGCACAGCTCTTCAGTACTATTGTCGGAATGTTGTCAGGGCCCAGAGCCTTTACGGTATCTAGAGTCTCCAACCATTTCTTGATATCACGTGGAGTGAATCGAATTAGTGAAGACTGGTATCTATAATGCCGGGGACCACTGGAGGAGGCTGTGATGGATCACCCACTCGGCACTTCTGGCTGAAGATTGCTGCGAATGCTTCAGCCTTATCTTTTGCGCTGATGTGGGCTTTTCCGTCATTGAGGATAGGGATATTTGTGGAGCCGCCGCCTCCAATGAGTTGCTTAATTGTCCAACACCATTCACGACTGGATGTGGCAGGACTGCAGAGCTTAGATCTGATCCATTGGTTGTGGAATCGCTTAGCTCGTTCTATCACTTGCTGCTTATGCTGTTTGGCGTGCATGTAGTCCTGTTTGGTGGCTTCACCAGGTTGATGCCACATCTTCAGGTATGCCTGGTACTGCTCTTGGCATGCCCTCCTGCACTCTCCATTGAACTAGGGTTGATCCCCTGGCTTGATGGAGATGGTTGAATGGGGAATATGCCAGCCCGTGAGGTTACAGATTGTGCAGTGCAATTCTGCTGTTGAGGTCCACAGTGCCTCAAGGATGCCCAGTCTTGAGCTGTTAGATCTGTGCTAAGTCTGTCCCGTTTAGCATGGTGATAGTGCCACACAACACAATGGAAGTTATTCTCATTTGAAGGCGGGACTTGGTCTTCACAAGGACTCTTTCCGATACTCTTGTGGACAGATGCCACTGCAGCTGGCAGATTAGTAAGGATGAGGTCAAGTACGTTTTTTCCATCTTGTTGGTTCCCTCACCACCTGCAGACCCAGTCGAGCAGCTATGTCCTTTAGGACCTGACCAGCTTGATGTGTAGTACTGCTGCTGCGCTACTCTTGGTGGTGGATGTTGAAATCCCCCACCCAGAGTACATTTTGTGCCCTTGTCATCCTCAGTGCTTCCTCCAAGTTATGTTCAACATGGAGCAGTACTGATTTCTCAGCTGAGAGGACAGTATGTGGTAATCAGCCCATGTTTAACTGGAAGCCAAAGTCGGTGTTGAGGACTCCTAGAGCAACACCCTCCTGACTGTATACCACTGTCCCACCTTCTCTGCTGGGTCTGTCCTGTTGGTGATGGTGTCTAGGACATGTTTATAAAGTATGATTCTGAGAGTATGACTATGCCAGGCTTTTGCTAAACTAGTCTGAGAGACAGCTCTCCCAATTTTGGCACTAGCCTCCAGATGTTAGTGAGGAGGACTTTGCAGGGTCAACAGGTCTGTTTATGCTGTTGCCTTTTCCAGTGCCTGGATCGATGCCAGGCGATCCATCTGGTTTCATTTCTTTGAGACTTTGTGGTGATTTGGCACAACTGAGTGGCTTACTAGGCCATTTCAGAAGGCAGTTGAGAGTCAACCACATTGCTGTGGGTCTGGAGTCACATGCAGGCCAGACTAGGTGAGGCTGGCAGATGTCCGTCCCTGAAGGGCATCAGTGAACCAGATGGGTTTTTCTGACAATTGGCTGTGATTTCATGGTGATCAGTAGACCCTTAATTGCAGACTTTTTTTTTTTTTTTGTTTCATTATTGGATTCAAATTCTACCTTCTGCCTTGGTGGGATTCAAACCCAGTCCCCAGAACATTCTGGGTTTCTGGATTAATAGTCTAATGATAACACCACTAGGCCATCGCCTACCCCTCAATCTTGGTTGTGCTCTGTCTGGAAGCTATGCTCTAAGGACTTGGCTAGTGCAATACAGTAGTCGGTATCATGACCAAGGTCCACCTGTATATTGGAATGTTCAGCCAAATGTATAGTAGTTGTTGTGCCATTGCTTCTTTTG